ATTCCGGCAAGCTCTTGATGCTACGCTCTCAATTCTCTCTTCTCTTGATGCTAGCCTCCTGACTTGCTCATGGAATTCGAAAACCATCTTGATGCTCCGCGCCTACCATTCTCGCTCTTGACCCCACACTGTTGGAATTTTGAAAGGGCTCTTGGTGCGACGCTCTCAACTCCAGCACACTTTTGATGCCACGCTCTTAGCCCTCTCCTGGAACATTCCAGTATGCTCTTGATGCTACCCTCTTGGCTTCCCCTTGGCACATTCCAGCACGCTCTTTTTGCCACGCTCTGAGCTTTCTCCTGGAACATTCCAGCAGGCTTTGCCTCATCTTTGCCTCTTTTGTTTCGCGATCTAAGGACATTGGGCTCCGCCATTGTATGCTACGACTGATTGGACATGATTGGACCGTGGCGGAAGCGCGACAAATAGATACACTATGCGTTTCTGCTTTGTCCCCATCTTTGCCTTTTTTGACTATCACATTTTCTCGTTTTTTCCCCAAGATCGACTTATCAGGTTTTCGGCTCCTTTTTTCACTTTTTCCGTATTTTCGGTCTTTTCAAATTTTCGCGTTTTCGTTTTTTTCCTCATTCCCACACTTTTCGGATTGTCAAATTTTTGCACTTTCGTGTTTTTCCTCATTTTTCGGATTTTCAGATTTTCGCATTTTCGGGTTTTTCTCATTTTTCGCACTTTTCGGATTTTCGGATTTTCGCGTTTTCGGGTTTTTCTCATTTTTCGCACTTTTCGGATTTTCAGATTTTCGGGTTTTTCTCATTTTTCGCACTTTTCGGATTTTCAGATTTTCGCGTTTTCGGGTTTTTTCTCATTTTTCGCACTTTTCGGATTTTCAGATTTTCGTGTTTTCGGGTTTTTCTCATTTTTCGCACTTTTCGGATTTTCAGATTTTCGTGTTGTCGGGTTTTTTCTCATTTTTCGCACTTTTCGGATTTTCAGATTTTCGTGTTTTCGGGTTTTTCTCATGTTTCGCACTTTTCGGATTTTCAGATTTTCGCGTTTTCGGGTTTTTCTCATTTTTCGCACTTTTCGGATTTTCAGATTTTCGCGTTTTCGAGTTTTTTCTCAGTTTTCGCACTTTTCAGATTTTCAAATTTTCGCGTTTTCGGTTTTTCTCATATTTTTGGTACTTTTCGGATTTTCAAATTTTCGCGTTTTCGGGTTTTCGCTTATTTTTGGTACTTTTCGGATTTTCGCGTTTTCGGCTTTTTGTTTTTTTAAGGCACTTTTCAGATTTTCAGATTTTCGCGTTTTCGGGTTTTCGCTTACTTTTGGTACTTTTCGGATTTTCGAATTTTCGCGTTTTCGGGTGCATCCAGCGGCAACGCGTCTTTTTGAATTTTCGCGTTTTCGCGTTTTCGGGTGGACCCTGCGCCCGTCACCAAAACACGACGACACGGAAATCCAAAACACAGTATATATATATATACTGTACAGTATTCATGTGTGTATATTCCTGGCTGTTGGTTCAATTGATGCTTCTGCAACACGTCATCAGAGCTGTTGGACGTTGGACATCACAATGGCCTGAATAGACGCCCATTGGAGGCGGTGGTGGCAAACCCGACCTTAGAGGTGTCGGGTGCCTTGACATGGTGCTCAGACACCCTGCAAAAAAAAAAGCGTGGTGAAGCATACACCTTTCTGCTGGTTGTATAATTAACAGATGGTTATATGGTGTCTGTCCCCATTCATATGTAACAAAAGATTGCAGTACTAGAGTGCCCATCCAGATTGACTCAGTTTACTGCTGCAACAGGTATGGAATCATCCTGCATGAGCGGGAACAGCTTGAACAAGTTGCCCACCCTCAAGCTTTCACCACCGTGGACTTGAAATGTCAGTTAAATTCTCCCCAACCAACTGAAATCTCCCTCCAACGCCCCCAGACCTGATGATTGTACTGGAGGGTGCCGTTTACATCGGGCTTCAACAAACAGTTCGTGGGGCTGCTGCTGAGTGGCTCTAGACCTTCCTTGAGCGGAAGCTCAACAGCGTCCTCGTCTGACACTCCCCGACCAGACACGCGAAGACCTGGGTAGCAGATGCTCTGATCATCTCTGATCTGAGTTCCCAGATTTGGTGCATGATGATTTTTCAAACCCAAATCATGGTCCAAATATCTGAGTCCCAATATTTGGTGAAAATGAATTTTAAGCAAAGAATGGTCCAAAATGGTCCAAATATCAAGAAGCAAAACGCTTTGGTGAGGGAAAAGTAGTCACTGACGGAACCTCTCAACCGCTACTGCTTGGTGAACAGGGATCCAGTGGATTACTTGCTAGGTTGCTCCATTGAGCCAAGCAGTATCACGCAACAACCAATCATCTACCATCTTTCAAAAGCCAGTTTGTGGATCCCCCTAAAAATGATAAAAATGGTTGGTTCCCACATGTTCCTACCATTTGCGCCATTTGATTGTTCGGCTCCAATTGGCTCTGGCCCCCCCTCCAACTCCCCATCTGGGGGATTTTGATCATTCGTTCCTCAGTTCCGAACGCTTGCGTTTCCCATCGTCGCGGTCAGCTTGGTTGGCGAAGTAGTGGACAAAGAGGAAACCTTGATGGAAGAAATCTGGTCAAATTGCCCATCCCTTGCGATGGACAAGGGAAATCCTAACCGGGAAATTATTGGCAGGATATGGTTTCCAAGGATGGGAAACAAAAAAAAGCTGTTAGATGTTTCTCCTTTAGTAAGGAAACCGACATGTTGCTGAGGTCTTGCATTTTTACACGTGCGATGTAGAGGGTCGTGTCCGCAACTGTTGGGGCGGCACAGGGAAGGCCACCTCCCGGCGACCATATTGAAAACTGGCATGGAATCACCCGAATTTCTTGGCAATGATGTTCCTGTTGGACGTTGACAATTTTGGGAGTTCCAAGCTGGTTTTCAGTGCAGGTACACCTGTCTAAGTTTGTTCGGGTGTAAAGTCACGCAGCTACACCATCATAGGCCCACATAAAAAATGCTACGACATAGGCAACAAAGAAATGCCACTGGAATCCGCTCTCCTCTAGTAAATTCATGCCTAATTATTCCGTTTAGCCATTTCGTCATCCTATGCCACTTCAATGTACCACTGAGGTCTCCCACCACCAATGCACACTGCCTGACAAGTCGCAGGGCGGGTCCAACCAATGGCCCATGGCCGATGCATCTTTAAATCTCATGATTCTCGGGCAAAATCACCATCTACTGATTGACATCTCCATTCGGCCAAGGGACAAAGGTCAAGGCGATGAGCAACGGCCACCACTGGGACCAAAAGCTGGGCTCCTGCTGGAGGCCCTTCAGCGGGTGATCCTGGTCAGATTCGACGCGAAGATATGGCGGGATTGGAAAATATCTGGCTTAGGTATGGCCTAGATAGATCAGATTCGAAGCTAAGATATATGCTATCAGAATCTATCAGATATGGCTTAGAAAATACCTGGCGTTGAATGGAAAATGAACCCGTTGGAGTTGGATTCACAACAGACTAGAGCTCGGGAGCTCATGTCAGTCACAATGGGAGAGGAATCAGGGTTTTGCATACACGGTATAACCGTTTAACCACCCAAAAAACTGGCTCTAATATTGAAAGTTTAGACGTATGGCCAAGAATGGCCAACCAAGAGGGGACTTAATCAACAAAAAAGATGGATCTAAATACAATAAGCAAATACTAGTGGGGATTCAACTATCTGAGGCATGAAACCTTGGCTTTCCTCCTGGGCCCCCAGTGCCGCCCAGCTCCTTGGTACCAACTTGAGGTTCACCCACTTGAATTTGTCCGCCTGCCATGGCATCCGATCTCTTCATCCAAACCAGATCAATCCAACTCAATCAAGCTCTGGAACCGCCAGGTTCAGTTTTTTTTCAGATATGGAGGTTTCCTAAAATAGGGCTACCCCCAAATCATTCATTTATAGATGGGATTTTCCATTATGAACCATCCAGCTATGGGGATACCCCCCTGCTGTCGTTTCCCCACAGGCACCTTCCAAGGCCATCACAGGCAGTTGCACTTGCGTCGTGGCCACTTTCAGGTTCGTAATCAGCGCTGGCACCTGCAGGATGGGAGGCGTGAGCCTGCTGAAATACCATCAAAACTTATCAAAAATGATGGATTTTGGGGGACAAATCACAAGAAATCTCATCCAAATTGATGGAATTTTGGAATTGATGGTTGATTATTTTTTCACAAACAAAAGTCCCACAGCAGACATATTCCCTATTTTTTCGAGTGTTTTTTTAAAGGGCACCAACTCCAACAGCACGCGCCTTCAATTTCGATGCCAACAAAGCAGGGCTCTGGCCTCAGCTGCCATAAACCGACCATTTGGAGATGGTATAAAGTTACCACCCATTTATGGTGATGTTGGGGCTGGTTTATAGCATCGACTTTGCCACAGTATATGGGTATGGGTCAAAGTTTAAGGCCTAGAATGACCACAGCGAGCTATGGCCATTCTTAGAAATTATTAACGTGTATTAACCATCCAGTTGTAGGGGTACCCAATTTTGACCCATACCCATAACCTGTTTGATCTTGTTCGATCTTGTTCGATCCCATGCCGGAAGTGTTGGCTTGGCCACTGAGACTCTGATTCTGCATCCTTTTTTTTCAGATGTTGAGGACGATCTCTTGCTTCGCAGATGCAGTTTGGAGTTCTGAGCAGCACGGCACAGAGCTCTCTGAGGTAAAAGAAACAACCTCGCGCGACATAAAGCCTTCGACATGTCCACAAGGTGCTCAGATGCAGGCCAACCATTTGGTGGATGCTCCAGCAACCAAAACCTACCTTTTCATCATGGGAGGGGATAAATGTGCCTGGGAATTCCTAGATTTTCCTAGTATCTCAGGTGGTTCGCCTGAAGAGTCTGAACATACATAATAGACTATAAGCTACAAATAGCCATAATCAGAAGCTTGCTTGATGATGGACATGGGTCCATCTCAAGCGTAGCTTTGGCCGGTTTACTGCTCTCAGATATGCGTTTCATGGCTGCGCCATCAACTCCTTCTCGCATTGTTTGGAAGAGAACGGCCACACTGGATGTGCGACGAAGGTGATGGTCCGGCACAGGATCAGCAACAAAGCCACTCCAGTGGCGCAGGGGAAGAGCGCATAGCCATACTGTGGGCTGACGGAAGTAGCCACCGCCTTCTCCACATAGAGGGCACAAAGGGCCCCGGCCGGAGGGAAGTAGCCACTGCTGGGGTTCGCCATCATCGAGAAGGCGGCCACCGCCATGGCCACCGCACGCAGGATGCCAGGGCTGTTGCCCAGCAAACGAGCCAGGAGAACAGTGAGGAAGCAGGCACCAGCCACACCGATGCATGCTTGAAGCGCCTTCCTGGGATCAAAATGTGAGTGAAAACTGGGTTCCATTCACTTCATCTTCCCTGTTTCACCTGGTTTTTACCTGGTGGGTGTAGAAAATCGATAAGTTCATCTTCCCCATAAACCAAATAGGCTGCGTCTTCCTATGTTTGCAAGATTGTGACAGGCCAAAATACAAAATTGTAAAAAGCCACTACATGGAAATGGTGGAAGATCACCATGTGGAAACTGTTGACAAAGACCATCAACTGCTAGCTGCTGAAAGTCACCATCAATTGTCGAAGAAAAAAACATTAAAAAAAAACATGTACCATCAACTCTTGAAAATAAGATGACCTGCTGAAAATAACCATCAATCGTCAACTGTTGAAGAACTCTTAACAATTTCCCATTATATTCAGAACTGCCATGAACAATGAACATTGCCATCAGTTGATGAAAATGACCATGTCGAAACTGTTGAAAATTCCTATTTACATATATATGTATATTATATATATATACACATTACGTGTATATATATATATGATTATATATGTATATATTATATATACACATATTACATGTATATAAATCGTCCAGCTTCTGACGCATCACTTTGAAGTTCATCGTCTTTCCTTCCTTGGCCGCAGCCACCGCATCTGCTGCGAAGATCAAGGTCACAGCTCCGAAGGGAGGAACCCATAGCTGGCGATGCAGGAAGCTTTGCAGAGTTGACCTGATGAGCAATGCCCAGCAGAGTCTGCACGGATAACCTTGTTGTGGGTGTATATATATATACATATGAGACATCGGGTATATGTATGTGTATATGATTATTTTGCCATATTCTGCCTATTTAGACTCCCTGACTTTAATTACGCAATGTGAGGAGCCCTGGGAGCCACAATTGTTGCTGGAAACTTGCCATCACACTTCAACATGAGTTTACCTCTATGGCACATGACCTGGGAGGCGCATTGCAATGTGCTATAGGAAACGAAACCAAAGCACAGTGGTCATAGGTTGAAATTGGTTTGTACTGCTCAAGCATAGCAATAACATTCCAAGTCAAAAAAACAAAACATATTGGAGGAATCCAGCCAGTTTCCAAACCCATCTCTTACTGGACCGTCAAGTACAAGTTTTTCTTCCTTATCTGAAAGGCATGATATGGCAAGGCAAAATTGGGTCCCCTGAAATCCAATTCAATGCTTTACCATTTTTCCCATCAAAATTGTCCTATCTGCAGGGAAAATCCCCCATTCTTAAGACAAACTTAAGTGTTACCTCACATATTGCGTTAAATCCCCCATTTCGTGCCACTGAAGTCCCCAATTTGTCTCAACAAACCCCCCAAAAAACATCTGGTCCTAGCTGGTCCCAGCAGCATGGCATAGGTGGCCAGGCCCGCCACTAAGGCCGTGAAGAGCGCCTCCGAATGCTTCCCACCGAAGTCCCTCGGGGCCGTCGTCTTCCCCGCGGAACGCGCAGTGAGGCCAGCGAAGTTCGCCTTGTTGTCCTTGGGACCAGCCAAGTAGACAAGGAATATGTATAGTGTATAATGGTGTATATACATATATGTATGTGTACACATATGCTATATATATATATAAATACAGCTGTATACATCTATAGGATTATGGGGTAATGCTAAAGATAGATGGATAATGATAGATATAGAATGAGATAGGTATGTTTCCAGCAGATTCCCCCAATCATTCTCGCTTTTCCCAAAAACTTCGATCCAGGTTTCGCTGAAACTTGGACTTTGATTCAGAATGCTCACAGGAGAACTGGGGGATGAAGCCACCAAGGTGGCTTTCGTTCCACGCATTCCAAAGGCACGGCCGGGCGGCAACAGGCACGAGAGCATGGTGGCAAGGACCGCGGCCAGGCGTCGCAGGCGGCTGCTCTGTGTCTTGGACATAGCGCTAGCAGCAACGGATAGCGACGGCAACGGCGATGAAGACCACGAGCCACGGGGTGCTTTCGGGAAAGCGCAACGGCCGGCGTTGATCATAAACCTGTGACATGTCTCGCTAACACAAGGCGTGGTTGTTTGAGATCGACTTGCAACTCTCAAAGACCAGTTCAATAGCCCTATGTTTGACAGCGCAGAGATCATTGGAATTCCTGTACATAACCTTTCTATCTCGGAAGCACAACTTCGGCATCTGCCTAAAAAGAAACAGAAATCAGGTGACAAAAGCAAAGGAAAGAGAAGTTAAAAGATATGTGTGCACTACATAAAATGTTTGGAGAATCACACCCGTCAAAAATGGCAGCTTAAATCACTTTACCACAACTGATTCTTTTCATCATCAGTCCGAGCTGGGACTCTCACTGGTCACAGGTTCGTTTGGTGTGTAGGCCTCAGATGGCGAAGACTGATGACATAAAATAACCCAAAAAAAACCCTCTGGTTATGTCAAAATTGCTACTGAAAATAGCCATTTAGTGCGATGATTTACCTTGCTATAACATAGGGGATTTTCGATCGTTATGTTACCCTCTGGTTATTTAACATAGCCATGGAAAATTGCCCCTTTATAGATGGTTTACCTATTAAAAATGGTGATTTTCCATGGCTATGTTAAATAACCAGAGGGTAGTTCACCAGAGGGTGATCTTACTACTTCCGGCATCTTCCGGCCAGGTCTCCGAGCTGTGAGAATGCAACCTCCACCCACGCTAGGGCTCAAATGCACCTCAGTTTGTACTTGTAGAGTATTACAAAAATCCATAAAAATCCTACATTGTTATTATCATCATGATTATGTATATATATATATATTATGTTATGTTATGATGGCTATAATTACGTTGTTATAGGCATATAAATATACATATATAAGAGAAAGAAAGAAAGAAAGAAAAAAAGAAAGAAAGAAAGAAAGAAATCACAATCAATACATCAGGTAAACACCCTTTTTGTTGACAATTCAAAACTCCTTGTTTCCATAACGTCTGAGGTTGCAGAACACCAAACAGTCTGCAGAATGCCCAGTGCCTGCGCATCCAAGTCATTGCTGTCAGGGCCTCGGATTTACCATCTTAAAATGGGTATCGCTCAAAATGACCAACCCAACACAGATGCAAATGGTTCTGACCCAGGAAATCGCTAGTGCTCATCCCAGATACCTTCCTTGATCTCTGTGACCGGCACACCGATGGTCTTCGCAATGGCATCCGCATACCTTGCGGCATCTGCACTCAGCAGTTCCAAGGGCTTCAGATCAGCCAGGCTTCATCACCATAGGCAGGTACTGGGGCAAACTTGCCCAAAGTTTGGATGATTTGGTGCTTATGGTAATAAGCAGAAATATGATGGTTTATACCCGTATGCATATGTATAAATAAACATATATATATATGCCTGTGTGTGTGCGGGTGTCTACACAAATATGTAAGTATAATCATGTATGTGTAATCATGTACCTATGCATGTATATATTTACACACATACATCATGCAATGTATGAGATATGCACTTTAGGAGGAACAAAGTTTATGCTTCTTGAAAGCTTTACAAAGCATCTATATCGGTCAACCGCGGATCACAGTTCCAAGTCCGTTTTGTGTGGCAGGTGTGTGTGGGACGGTCAATTATCACTGCTTTCAAATCTATAAGATGTTGAAGCTTTTGGAGGGTGGAAATGCGACCGGGGTACGACAAAGCTCCATGCTAGGATTCTAAGGGGAACGGGTGTGCAGAAGAAGAAACCAAACATGTTCACTGTCGGAAACTCAACAAGCGCAACTTTTGTCATACCAGTGTATGATATATGACGGTTTGCCAAAATGTCTTTTCCGTTTTTTGAAACTTTTGCTAGCGCATTGCTAGCAGGAACCTAGCGGGTAAAATTACGTACAAATTCGCAAAATTGAGCCGCAACCTCAAAAATATCGGGAAATTGTTGAGTAGCACAGAAATTCGCTAAGACATCCTTAGGCGGAAGGAGCTAAGTGTTACATCTTAATCTTGACGTTTCTTCATGTTGAAATAACAAGCAGACAGGAACACCAAAAAACATCCTTGAACATGGGACAGCGCAAACCTAGCAGGAAAAACCACTAGGTCCACACTACAGGGGTTTGACAAAGTCATGCCTAAGTCACTCCTTTCGCTTTCCCCGCTTGTGAACGCAACATCAAGAAGTCATGCCTAAGTCATGCCTTTGGGCCTTCCCCCATTCAGAACGCAAGCGTCAAAAAAACCCTTTCCAAATCAGAACCTTTCACTTTCACCCTTTTTTCTCTTCCCTGTGCTTGCGATTCACTGTTTCTTCTTTGCCCACTTTCTTCCCCAAACAGGTTTATCTGTATGGGGTTCTCAATAAGAATTCTGTAATGATCAACAACTGGTACAAAACTTCTGTCAACTATTTTTGGCAAATGGCCATATATGTACATATGATACGCTGCAAACAACGCTCCGTCTCACAAATACTGTGGAAGAGTCTTGGTGAAGCGAACGGCTGTTTTGAGGTACTCTCATCGTCTGATATACGCCCAGTTCAGACAGTTCGGCGTTCAAAAGATCTGGTTATTCCAGATTTTTGTTCAGAAATCTCAGCTCTTTAGCTCCCATCAAACTTGGTCTTCACATCCCTTCATGAAAATCTATCCTAATTATCTCCAATCTATGCACCCAGCGATCAAACCATTGCGATCCGGATCCATGCACATCTGCCCGAACAAAAACCACTGAAAAAAAGCCAAGACACCGGCCCTCCAGCAAATGTTTGTCCTTAACAAAAAAAACATGGGATGAGTTCCGTCCAGCCTATGATATCGATGGTTTCATGAAGGTTTCAACCGGACCTGAAGGTGTTTGTTTGTTGAGGTTCAGTTCTTGCTTGGTCAAAGCCAGACTGCCAGACTGTTCTTCAGTTTCAATCCCGATGTTCCTTTGGTTCTACCCGTATTTTCCTGATCTATTTCTTACTTAGATTCCCAGTTTCCTTCCGTATTATATCCTCCTTTGGTTACAGTATAAAAAACAAGTGCCTAAAACTTACGTTTTGTTGGGGCCTGAACAATTTGACCCAGACCCATGTGATATTCTTAAATGAACATTGCTGAAAACCAGTGTGAAATTGCTTAAAATAGATTCAAATACTGGATAGTTACTGGGGATTTTGAATCATCCATAGTATCCATAGTAGTGATTGTCCCCTACTAATGGGAGTGTATTCCGCCAATAAACCACCATCACAACTGGGTTACCCCCAAGCCCCCATCATTTAAAACCGTGTTTCCCCATTAAAAAAAAACACTGATAGCGGTTCCCATGTTGGGTAATAATAATTACTGCCAATAAATCAGGTATATAATATATCATATTGTATATTCTACATAGGTGTCTATTAATAAGCCCTTATATTAATCCATCAGCCATCAGTTATCAATTATAAATTATATACGTATGTTTGAATGTGTCTGATAGTTAACCCACATCGAAACAATACTTAAAATCCCCACTGAGCAGTATACACGCCTCATCCACTATCATCTGTCAATGATCTCTCCCTTTTTTTGGCAGGTGAAATCCCACTTTTCCTTGGGTAAAGCATCAAAAATCATTGATATCATTATTTTTTCCCAGTTTTCATCAAAAGTCGCCAGTTTTTTACCCAGGACCCGTCCCCCCTCCATATTGTCGCCCAGGCTTCGGGGGGCGCCAGCGCTTGCACGTTGAGCCCCAAAATCGGGATCTCAATCTCCGCCATGTGCGCCGAGCTCACGTCCGTCGTCACCCCGGCCACCGGCGCCAT